TGTGGCTCCTCGGACTGATGGAGTCTGTTGGATGAAAGACGAAACGTCTCGACAAGAAGAAACCGTCCAGAGGACCTGACTGAACCTGGTTGTGTTCCACAGCATTCCATACTTTGTAGATTGTGCAGGAAGTCTGTAGCCGGTTCTGTGTCGATGCGAGTCAAAGTAAAGGTCCATCACATCAAACCCTTCTCCTCCACAGCTCCACCTCTCGTGCGCCTGCAGATTAGTCAACATGAAAATAGCACGACCCTCTCACCCCCCCAGTCTTTCCACTGCTAAAAACTCCTAAGCTATTTTAAAAAGCCAAGCATCCGAGCCACAGGTGGAGTGCAGCTCTCCAGCTTCGACAGGAATGTGAAGGATGTGTGCTACGAGGCAGCTGTCCAGACCGCTCAGACTGTGGACAACTGGGGAATGTGCAAGTGATCCCAGTCACTTGAAGTGGGTGTGGAGCCGTGTGAGGCTCTGCTTCTTGGGAGTGGCTGTGTGAGATACCATGACACAATTTCACTCTCAACGAGTCCCTCGCCCAGTTTCAAACATCACCTGTAGCAGGCCTACGCAGTTAATTTAACTTTTGTTCAGATTTAGGCTCCAGGAACAGAGAAATCAGAAAAAAATGACCTTTAAAACATATTGCCATGTTTGGCCTTGAAACGTACTCTTCATGTCTCGTTTCTTAAATGAGCTGCAGCCTGTTGTCTCTGAGTAAGACCTGCAGAGAGGAAGAGGGAGAAGACGGCTGCTAAAATATGGCATGCGACACCAAGCACCAAGTTGATACCACAGCCATCCGTGTGTAAGCTGACTTTTAGCTGGAGAAACTACGCTGATGAGTTCTGTTGGTAAATTTGAAACACCAAGCAGTGAGAGCAACAGACAGGACGCGTGCTTGTGCCTCACTTCAAACGTGCACCCAGCAAGGTTCAGGAGAAGCTGGGCACGAGTCTGATTCAAGACTGAGCAGAGGTTCAACAGAAGCACGTGTCTGCTACAAACTGAACAGAAACATTTATACTGGAAATGATAATTGAACATTATTTATCTGAGGAGCAGCTGATTTGAGATGAACTCCATCACAGAACTCTCATGTTGAACTTCAACTTTAGAAAACTTCAGTTATTTTATCAGTATGAGCTAAAAGCTAATATGAGCTACTGTCCTGGAGTCATCAGCTTCTGATCTTCAAGGATTCAACCTTTATTTCTACACGTTAGTCTCAGAGTCATTTTCAACTGAACTGTTTTAGACACAACCCCAGCGACCAGGTCCAGACTACAGTGACGAGTCTTATAAAATGAAAAGTAATAAAAGTAGTGATGTAAAACGAAACAACAACAGCCAGGCTGTAAGGCGACGTAGAAAACTAAAAACAGGAACTGAACAGATGTTTGAAGCCACTTAGAGAGGTCAAAGGTCGAGAGCTTCAGATCTTTTTACAAGATGTTCCAGGAAACAGGAGCGGAGCAGGAGAAGGTCCTTTTGTCTAGTTCAGTCCTCACTGAGGGAACACTGCAGGTAATGATGTCCTGAGAGCGCACGCTGTAGCTGCACTCACACAGAGACATGTAGGAGGAGATGTATGAAGGCAGCAGACCAGGAAGTGATTTAAAGATGAAGATGTACCAGTGGGAGAGTCTGTGTGAAGTTACTGGTGACCAGTTAACCAGTGGATACTGGGTGCAGTGGTGGGTACGGTAGTTACAGCCAGTTATGAATCTTAGGGTGCATTCACACCAGCCCTGTTTAGTCCGCTTTAATCCAACTCCAGCTCGTTTTCCTAGAAAGTCCGGTTCGTTTAGGGATGTGTGAACGCGCCATCGAACTCTGTCACGGAACAAAAAGGTGAACTCTGGCCCGGGCTAAAACCTAGGTCTGGGTCCGGTAGAAGAGAACTCCAGCGTGGTTCGAGTACAGTGTGAATGTAAACAGACCGGGCCCCGCTCCACAAGCAGGAAGTGGATTACAGCGCAGGACAAACAAACACACATTTCTCTCATATGGAGCCGTCAGCTGACTTGTGTGAAAAACAATATTCTCCAGGGTCTTCTGTCTCATCTTCTGCTCATGCTGAGTCCATTGTTGAAAAATGACAAAATATAACTCCTAAAACTGATAAAACTTGATGCCACTTCGTTTTTATTTTTATTTACAGAAGAAGAAGAAGTGTCTTCAGAGGTTTTTATTGTTTCTTTCAGTAGTTCTTGGTGCAGCGCCCCCACAGGCGAGCGGGGGAACAGGTTGCTTCAACAGGTTGCTTCAACAGGTTGCTTCAACAGGTTGGCTCGACTGCACAGTGCAGTGTGAATGCAAACGCACCAGCTCAAATGTAACAAAAAGTCATGAATATTGGTGCCGAACCGAACCGAGTCTACCGGACTATCAGCTGTGAAAACAACCTTAGTGCACCATGACAGACAGCATCCAACATCTGCAGCATCCAACATCTGCAGCATCCAACATCTGCAGGGTTCTTGTAGGAGCGTTCATGTAAATAATGTCACCGTGATCAATGGAGGGAAGGAAAGTCACAGATACAAGGTGTTTCCTAACATTCAGAGTTAGACAGGATCTGGTTCTGAAAAACAAACCCAGTTTACCTTCCAGTTTCTTTACCAAGTTTTTGACACGAGGCTTAAAAGAGAGACGTGATACCCAGATATTTATAGGAATCAACAAACTCAACAGGAGCACCCTGCATGGATGAGAGGAAGAACTGCTGGGACCAACTTCCTGTTAGAAAACAGCATCTCTTAGGTTGTGTCAACGTTTCGCACCAGTTTGAGACTTCTGCTTTTACTTTAGTTATTGTTTTGTTCTTTTACCTTGTTCACTAAATTTAAGCATATTTTGATAAACTGCGACCTTTTGCAACCTTCTGATCACAGGCCCACCTTCTCCAACCTCTGCACCACCACTCCACACTCATTTAAAGAAATTAACTGTCAGTTATTTAAGTAAAAATTCATCAGGAAGATAAGAATTAAAATTTTAACTTTTGTGGCAATCCACAGGTTTTAAGTGCAATAGCAGCAACGTTTCCAAACTCAAGATTTCTTTTCAATCACTTTGAATATGGATCAAAATAATCACGAGTATATATTTTTCATAACTGAGCAGCTCCATCATGTGAGAGTTGGTAAGTTTTCTATGTGATGGTTCGTTTTATTGAACCTCACTGAACCTTGCCCAAGTGCCACAGCTCTTCTCCTGAAACCTCGAGCCCATCCCAGACGAGCCTCCAAGGGGCCGGCATGGTGTAGAGCAGGGCCCGGGGCCAAATCAGGCCCACGGGGGGCCAAATCAGGCCCACGGGTGGCCTCAGTCCGGCCCACCAATGGGTTCATTTCAAATCAAACTAGATTTCAAACCACAAAACAAACTTCATGACAATAACTGCTGCACGTCCGGCCCCTGAGCTCTTGGCTTCCAGTAACTGTGACTCTCCCGAACAGTTTAGATGAATAGTCCTGGTGTAGAGGTAGGGCAGCCGACTTGGGACCAGAAAGTCGCAGGTTCAACTCCCCGCCATGATTACGTCGTGCTGTTCTTGAGCAAGACACCCAATCCCTACCTGCTCTCCGGGTGCTTGCATAGCTGCCCACTTCTCCACCTCTCTGGTGTGATGGGTTAAATGCAGACAACTCATTTCTCCATTGTATGGGACATACACAGATACATAGTCCTCCCTCCCTGTCCATAGCCTGTCACCGAGGACAC